TTCCAGAAGGCGCCTGTGTTCTGGCAAGGCGGGCCCACTTCCACCCTTCCTGATGCCTGGGCTGAGGGAAAGTTTGGGGAGGGGGGCAGGAGGGGCCCAGGAGGCTGAGCTGGGGGCTGAACCAGCCCTGGCCACAGGCGGCGGCGGCGGTGACTCTTGAGGTACAGGAAAGACGAGACCCCTTTGGTTTCAGAAGCCTGGGATCCGAATCCTCCTGCAAACGAATTTGGCGCCTGAGGCAAGGAGGGGCGGAGCTAAGGCAAGCGGAGAGCGTGGGGGCGGTTCTGAGAAACGCAGGGTGTTAGGTAACTCTATAAGAACGCCATCTGCAAAGCCGCTTTGCAACAAGGTTCCATAGTGTAGTGGTTATCACGTCTGCTTTACACGCAGAAGGTCCTGGGTTCGAGCCCCAGTGGGACCATGACTTGCGGTAGTCACTTTTTGTATTAAATATCCATAGACCACCTCGATTACAGAGAATGTTTGTCTTCATTCCCCTTTTTTGCTGATTTAAATACATTTGAACTTTTTTTTTTTTTTTTTTTTTTTAGCGCAGGAGCTAACTGACACCTTTTGGAACAATTGTAGGACCTGAGAAATCGCTGAGGATGGAGGCGGGACTAGCTCAGTTCCATCTCATGCCCAATATCCCCAGGTGCCTTCAGAAAATGCTATAGCTCCTGGGCCGCACTTGCAGGAGATCTTTCCCTGGAAGCACAACAGACTGACTCCCCTAACCCTTAGCCAAATCTGTATGGCTGCAGCCGCGTTTTGACTGGGTTTGAATGATTAAAAGTTGATTGCTATTATAGTTATGATTGTGATTAAGGGTTTATATTGCATTAAATGCTAAAGTACATAGCAGAAAGAAAATACAATCATTTCCTTTTTAACACAGGAGTGGCGTTAGTGGAATACTAGAATCCTAATGTCAGGCTTATAGACATCCAACAAATGCTGACTAAATGCCCAGACGCCTGAAATTGTTGGTGATTTTGTTGGTTTTGAGGTGTTCTTTGTTCTTTGTTTTGCTTTTTAGTACTGCATTATAGCATTGCTTAGGGGGTACTTTTTTCTTTTTTAGTATTGGCCTTCCACATATTTGAGATGAGGAATAAAGGGAAGTTGTTGGGGTCCAGAGGTGTGGGAGAGTGTGGTCAAGGGTGGGATGGTGGGCAAAAGAACTGAAAGTTGAAGGGGAAACTCCAGGTTTTTTTTTAGCCCCTTTCAATATAATTTTGCTTAGACCCTGTATAAAGTTGCATCTTTTTCTGACAGAAGCGTGTAATAGGTAATTTTTCAGATTAACAATCAAGTATATTCTTTTTTAAACCGTCTTAACTAGAAACTAATGCTACATATATATTCAAAATGACTTATGTAAACAGATCTCCAGGACATTTTTATCTTGCAAAAGTGAAAATGTACCCTTCAATCTACCATTCCCTTTTCCACTCCTATCAACTTTAGTGTGTGTGTGTGTGTGTGTGTGTGTGTGTGTGTGTGTGTGTGTGTATGCACGAGCCAATAGTGGGCTTGAAACTCAGGGCCTGGGCACTGTTCCTTCACTTTTTTACTCAAGGCTAGTACTCTACTACTTGAGACACAATACCAGTTCCAGCCTTTTGGTGATTAATTGGCATTAAGAAGCTCTAGGGTTTGTCCGCCCAGGCTGGCTTCAAACCTCCATCCTTAGATCTCAGCACACTGAGTAGCTAGCATGACAGGAATAAGCCACTAGTATTGCACATCTTTTTGCATAGCTGCCCCTCCCACCACCAAACTGAGTATTTTCCTCAGTGGAAAGAAATGAACATGATGACATAGGAGAGACTATGGCATGTCCATACATAAGAATGTTAGCCTTTAGCTAGCAGGAAATTGTTCAAGGTGGCCTTAGGAAAATGATGGCAGAGAAAGGAGCAAAGCTTGAGTCTTTAGATGATAACTGTTTCCCTCCGTTGTTCCCTTGCAATTAAAAACAGAATAAGAGCAATGATTCTCTTGCTAAACCAGCTCAGCTGATGTTAGTGTCTTGGAGACTCCCTTGTTGCAGCCAGTAGCTATATGGGCTAACTTATGAGGCTCAGGCAAAGACCTAAGAACTAAAGTAAGATGCTTAGTGAATCCAGTGCTCAAGTTAATCCCCTGCTCCTGGGCCAGCTCTTCACTGAAGTAAGACAGAGCTGCAGCCAAGGACAAGGAAAATGTCACCCACGATACAAGGCTTCTTGTTATTATTTCTGTTTGGCTACAAAGGTATGTACAATTCAGCCACTGGCATTTTTGCATATTTAATATCACAATTTGATTCAAAATTTTGTTGATAAATTAAAAAAGCAACTTGAAAAACAAACTATCAATGACACATGTTACTTAGGTTACATGTGTTATCCATGGCCAATGTTTAATTTGAGTAGATATAATTGTTGTTACATTCTCAGAAACTTTCAGGTTGTATATGGATTCTTTGAAAATTTAAACTATCCTTAAAATCCAACAGAAAGAAGAAAGTGTATAAGTACAATGATTAGTGAGGAAGCATGATGCAACTCTTGAACACTGTTATAGTCAAACAACTGATTGGAGAATTTCATCTTCCAATCTCAGTTATCATTAATGATGGATGATACCGCTAATAATCATTCTCTTGGGACTGGGTGCTGGTGGCTCACACATGGAATCCTAGCTATTCAGGAGGTTGCGATCTGAGGATCAGGCAGGGCAGAAAAGTCCATGAGACTCAGTTTCAATAAACTACTAAAAAAGCAAGCTAGAAGTGGAACTGTGGCTTAAGTGATAGAGTACTTGAGCAAAATGCACTCAGGGATAGCACCCAGACCCTGAGTTCAAGCTCCAAGACTGGCACAAAAAATAATCCTGTTGGGACAACAAGTGTAAATGAGGACTATGTCAGGCAAAGCAGGGCAAAAGGTCATTCTAGTTTAAATATGGATTAGTGTAACTGGCCACTGGAATCTAAGAAAAATCATAATCCTTTCCTTTCTACCTTTCTCCTACCAACTGACTCTCCCAACAGTTCCTCTCTTTACATTCATGTCTCATTACCATTATTGTTATCATCAGCCCTTTAGGTCTAAATTCTGTAAGTGAGGGAAAACTTAAGATGTTTGGCTTTTTGAACATGACTTATTTAATGTGATTGCCAGTTCATTCCATCTTCCTGAAAAAGTCATTTCATTTTCTTTTAAGGCTTAGTAATACTCTATGAGATACAGCTTCATTTGAGACATTAGAAATGGGTTGAAAGGTTGGGCTTGAGCTCAGTGGCAGAGTACTTGCCTAGCAATTGTGAGGCCCAGAATTCCAGCTCCAGTACCTTAAAAATGCTTTCTTCTCAGGCAGGGTGACTGATGCATGTAATCCCAACACTTGGAAAGGGAGGCAGGAAGATCATGAGTAAGACAGCAAGCACCCTGGGCTTCAAACTGATACCCTGTCACAATATACAGAACACAAAGATTCATTTACTCATTTATCTTACGTTCAAGGACCTATATTCGAGTATCTACAATAGGGCATATTTTTTAAATTATCTTTAAGCAGTTGTACAAATGGGTTTGCAATCCAACCTGTCAGTTGATGAGAACTAGAACCATGGCTCAAGTTGTAGAGCACCAAAAAAGCAAAAAAGCTAAGGGTCAGAACCTAGGCCCTGACTTCAGGCCCCAGCACCAAGAGGAACATTTTGGAAGAACTTGACACTCAGGGCAGACCCTTGAGTCTAACAACCCAGATCTATGATCCCCAAATGAGACAAAGTCCCCTAAAAAGTCTCCGTGTGTTTCTATCTACACCTTTACTTTCCATGGCTGTTAATAACAAAAGACACCTGTTAAGTGGCACGAAGGACAGTCTACTCTTAATTTCCAAAGCTTTGTGTATGCTGGCACTTAATCAGTATATGATCCAGACAGAGACAAAAAGTCAACACACATAGGATAGAAGCATTCAATAACACAATTGGGAACATATATATCAAGGTTCCTTTATCTGTTTGTGTTTGTTTCATTTTGTTTTTACTTTGTGCTGGTACTAGAGCTTAAACTCATATCCTGGGCACTGTCTCTAAGCTATTTTTGCTCAAGGCTAGTGCTCTACCACTTAAGATACAGCTCCACTTCCAGGTGGGTTTGTTTCGGGGGGGGTATTTTGGCATGTTTGGTTTGTGGGGTTACTTTGGTGGTTAATTGAAAATAAGAGTCTCACAGACTTCCTGCCTGGAGTGGCTTTGAATCACGATCCTCAGATCTCAGCTTCAAAGCAGTTACAATTACAGGTGTGAGCCAATAGCCTCTGGCTCATCTAGGTTCTTGATCTGAATTATTCTCTGCTATTTCTGCTATTTGCTAGTACTAGCTCTTTAGTACCATGAAATACGCTAAAGGGATTGCTTTGGCTTCCATACTGGATGAAAGTTCACATGGAAATACATACACCATCACAGTAAGAGACTGCCAATGTCACAGAAGTGAGTCAGTCTTCTATTTATCTAACTTTTCACATTTAAGATTCTGTTGATAATGATTTTATAGTGCACCCATTCTATTAAAATGTGTTTTCCCTTACATAGTCATTTTTATTATATAAAAGCAAAAAGAGTCCTCCATCCACACCTTTAGAGGTGTGCCAGCCATTAGGAACTGCAGATTTTTGTAAAAGGAAGCATTACTGAGACATAATTTATGCACAATTAATTCACTCATTTGAAGTGTACAAGTCAATAGTTTTGAATAAGTTTCCAGATTTGGAGCCCATACAATCTAATTTTAGAACTTTTCCCTCACCCTAAACATTAGACAGGGACTCCCTGTTCTCTCCCAACCTCCCCCAGCCCCTGGCAAGCACAAATCTACTTGCTTCAATAGAGATGCCTCTTCTGGATGTTACATTTACATGGAATTATAGGGCATGTGGTCTTTTGTCTCTTGCTTAGCATATGTCTTCGTGGCTCATCGATGTGGAAGCATGAAGGATAACAGATTTATCCATGAATAAGCCTACTGCCTAAAACAGTAATACTTTCACATCAAAATCAATCTTCCCTTCTTTCCAAGAGGGACAACATCACAGTCTCCTGCCTTTCTCCTGTGCTTTACCCATGTTTCTCAAGTAGATTAGAGGCTGGTTACAGTTTCTATCATTCATACTTCCACATCTTTCTCCTTAGCTTCATCTATTTCCCCAGGAAGGAAGGCTCCATATCTAGTGATATCCCATCAAAGAGACTAAAAAAAGAGCCTTTTCTAGTTTCTAATGCAGACTTTTCCTCTTGGGCTTGTCAGGCTCATTGGAGAGTCAGCCAGCCTTGAATTTTCTTGCTGTGGTAACAAGGGTTTCCCAGTAGGGTGGCCCTTTGGATAAGAGGACAGTATGAGCTCATAGTGCACAAATCTAAGGCAGGAGAGTGGCAGACATCTCATATAACATGTGCAAGACTCGTGAAAATAATCTAACCAGACAGAAAATATGTGCAAGCACATAATCAAAATCTCTATTTTCCCTCGCAAAGCTACTGTTTTTCTTTGTCTTCTTCCAACAAAGTTATTTTCTGGTATGACAATAACTAGGTGGTCATCAAGAAATGCTCTTGCTTTTGTTCTCTGGTTTTTAGGGTTAAATCATTTTGGGGAAGTGCAGCAGCCACGTTGTTGCTGCTCCCTTGGTGACAGTGTTTCCTGTAAAATGCTGGCTGTTCCTTCTGTCTCTGCTCATTTCCATAAAGCTCTGGCACCTCACAATCCCAGGCTGCCTGCAGACAAATGCTTCCTAGGGAGGGGAAACCGAAAAGAAAATAAGACCTACCAGAAATCCTCCCAGATCTGATGAAGCTCAGAAGTTAGCTCTGCATCCAGGCCTTCCTTCATGGCCTCTTCCTCCTCACAGGGGCACAGTGGCTGAATTTCCCCCAACCCACCGCTCCAGGGACCACCAATGGACATGGAGAACTGTTTTATTAAAAATAAAAAATGGAGGTTTGGTTCTAATGGGAAGAAAGTAAATTTCTCTCCTCATGTATCCTAAGGTTCGTGATTGAAATCTCCCATGATAAAAGACAGATCAACAAGAGAAAAGCATTCAAATCCATGAACTAAGTTTACTTGGCCTAAGAGCCTTTAGAAATGAAGCCCTGATCGCTGGGTGAAGCTGGGTGGTAGGGCATGTATGAGGCTCTGAGTTCAATGGCAGTACTGCAAAACAAGACAAAAAAATGAGTGAAAACCAGACGCCAGTGCCTCACACCTGTAATGCTAGCTACTCAGAAGGCTGGAATATGAGAATCATAGTTCAAAGCCATCCAGGCAGGAAACTCCGTGAGACTCTGATCTCCAATAAACCATTCAGAAAACTGGAAGTGGCACAGTGGCTTAAGTGATAGAGAGTGCCTGCCTTGAGCTGAAGAGCTGAGGGACAGTACCCAGGCCCAGAGTTCAAGCCCCACGACTGACAAAAAACAAAAAGCAAAAAACTGAACAATTCATATACTTGGCACTTCCTACCTGCTTTGCTACATTAATATATATTGACATTCTACAATGATCAAAATAATTACTTTTATCTTATTCTTTGTTCCATTCTATTGTTCCTAGTTTCTTAGCGTCTATGGATTTTTTTTTTCTTTCTGGCAGATATGTGTTTAGCTTGACTTCCTCCTGAAGGGAGCCTGTGAACATTCATTTGGAAATGATCACTTCACTGTTTCATGTAGTAAATGATTTTGTCAAACTTCTTTTTCTTTTCTTGATTTCATTTTCCCTCTTGTTCTTTTGCTCAGCCACAGTGGGATTATCATCTACAGAGGTATGTTATAGGAAGAAGGCTAGAATTTATGTGGATACTGCTTTTGAAGTTTTCTTAGCCAAAATGAATATATTGAATTATTGAACTATTAGTTATTTTTTGCTGTTCTAAGGCTGACATCTAGGGCTTTGCCACTCTAAAGTATGTGATCAACCACTGAGCTTTTCTTTCTTTTTTTTTTTTTTGTTGGTCCTGGGGCTTGTACTTTGGGCCTAGGTGCTGTCCCTCAGCTCATCTCAAGGCTAGTGCTCTACCACTTGAGCCACAGTGCCACTTCTGGCTTTTGCTGCTTATGTGGTGCTGAGGAATTGAACCCAGGGCCTCATGCATGCAAGCACTGGACCACCATCCCAGCCCATCTTTTTATTTTTCTCTTTTTAAATTGTACCAGTCCTGACTAGAACTCAGGGCCTACGTACTGTACCTGGGCTTTTGTGCTCAAGGTTAGTGCTCTCCCTCTTGAGCCACAGCTCCACTTCTGGCATTTTGGTGGTTAACTGGAAATGAGAGTCTCATGTATTTCCTGCCTGTGCTGGCTTTGAACCATAGTCCTCAGAACTCAGCCTCTTGAATAGCTACAATTACAGGTATAAGCCACTGGCACACAGCCTTCAAGTATTTTTAAAGCACTTTTTCTCTCTCCTGCTGGCAATAGCATGTTTTATCTAGGCAAGCTCCAAGTTTAGTTAATTTAATTTTTTGAATTTTTCATTTACTGTTTTCTGAACTTCAAAATGTTTTAAAATGGGTTTAAATTTAATATGATCATTTGTGTGTCCAGTGCTTCATATGTGTTTGGGAATTCTTGTTATATTTGTCCAATGTTAATTGTTTTCAATGGTTAAGGCAGAGTGTCACTATATAGCCCAGGGCTATACAGCAATACCCAAGAATTACATTGGTGTTTTAATGAAAATAAAGGAAAACCAGGTGCATTTCTGAATCCAGTGCCTTTAAAATTGAATCCCTACATACAAAACCCCACAGTTATATGAAGAGTCTAGCATTGCACCGAGGTGTACCCAATGCCCAAGTGCTTGAATATTGCCCTGGAAGGTTACCAATGGTTGCCCCTGGTGGCAGACATTTGCTTATTTTGAATCCAAGATGAGTGGCACTTGTGTGCATCCAGGCTCAAATAACAAGTCTGCCATCAGAACAAAGCAACCATGAATGATAGATAAGGAGCAAATGTGACTTTTGAAAACAAACCTCTAGTGGGTTGACCAGTTGTCTGTGACTGTGACTGTTCTAGCTTTTTACCTTTCTGATTGTTTGTAGGATGAAGGTGAAGGCCCCTGGGACCAAAAGCCATGCAAGTGTGATTGCCAAGGAGGGGCCAATGGTCTGTGGTCTGCAGGTGCCATCTCCTTAGACTGCATCCCAGGTGAGTGGCCTCCCCTCCTTGGGTCATGAGCTCAAAAGTGTCCTTTATTGAGTCTTGTCCAGCCTGGATGAATTAACACTGTGAATGATCAGCTCTGGCTTTTCAACAGCTAGCCTCTGAGTCTCAAATCTCACTGGCCACTGCTCCAGCCGACTGTTCTAATGCCATTGTTCAGAAACAACTTATTAGATCTGTACCAGGCCTAGTTGAGGTGCTTAGAGGAGACTCAGCAGTCAAGGAACTGGAAGAGTACAATCATTGAAAATTAAGTCAATGATAGGCAGTATGGAGCTTTGAAAAGAGCATGGGCTCCAGGGCCAGAAAAACCCAGAGCTGCATTCCAGATGAATCACTTCTGGAATGCGGCTTGGTTCTTTTTCTGCCCAGTGGAGGGATAGCAAGATGCACACCACACAGCCATGTGCTTCTCCCACACAAGCAGAAGCAGCCCAAGCCAAGCAGGTCTCTTCCCAAGCAAGGCACTGAAAGGCCAGCTCTCAGCTCTGGGCTCTCCCTTTTCCTATCATGAAGCAAGCTGCTGACACAGCAGCTTCTGCTTCAGCTTAGTCCCTCGATGATTAAATACAGTACAACCACCTGTTCAAGCCCAGCAGCGAATTACCTGAGTGAAAAATACACCTCCAGTTATGTGAAAGCCTCAGAATTTCCAGGACAACTTATTCCACAGCAGATGTAGTCTATCCTGATTAATAAAAACATCTTCCCTAAAGAATGGGGCCAGAAACCTTTGTCTGTAAAGGTCCAAACAGTAAATATATTTGGCTTTGTGGACCAAATGGTCCGTGTCCCAACTCCTTAGTTCTGTCCTTGTAGTTTGGAAACAGCCTTAGACAGTATCTAAATACACAAATATGGCCATGTTCCAATACAACTTTATCATAAAACAGATGGGGAAACCAGGTATGGTGGTACATTACTTGCAGTCATTGTAATCTCTACACTTTGGAGGCTGAGGTGCAAGATCTAATGGATGCGGCCAGCTGGGTTACACAAAGACCATGAATGAATGAATGAGTGAATGAATAAAATAAATAAATAAGAATGAGGTTCAAGTTCCATGACCTGCCCTATAGCTTCCGTAGCCACCATAAAGAAATGGTGGGGCTGGGCACCAGTGGCTCACACCTGTACTCCTAACTACTCAGGAAGCTGAGATCTGAGAATCACAGGTCAAAGCCAGCCTAGGCAGGAAAGTCCATGGGACTCTTTTATCTCCAATAAACCACCAGAAAACCGGAAGTGGTGTTATGGCTCAAGTAGTAGAGCAGTAGCCTTGAGCTGAAGAGCTGAGGGGCAATGCCCAGGCTGAGAGTTCAAGCCCCATGACCAACAACAACAACAAAAAAGAGCATACATTTCCACTAAGTTCTTATCTAAGGTGGAGCTGAAGCCTTTATTTCTGTCTTGTCAGTGCCAGGCACATCATAGGTACATGATGAAAGCAGTTTATATACACATTTCTAAGTAGAATCCTTCAGGATTAATGAGATCAAAGATATCAATGTTTTAATGGCTGCCTGAGCGCATGTGAAATGTATATAGGAAATGCCCTCGGAAGTCAACAGAGCCTTCGGCTTTCCTCATTCAGGCCCCACTGATCTTTGCAAACATCTGCTGATGCAACCCAGGCTCTGGCACTCTGCTTCCCCTCACTGTCAGCTACAAGCTATTGTGATGTTTCATCTCATTTATTCCTTCTACTAAGCCCTGAGAGCATGAGTCAGCTCACTGTCTGATGTTTTATGTTGCTTAGAATTTTTTCAAAAACATGGATGAATTCATTTATTTACTATTGTAGTTATTGGTTGACTATAGTGGGGTTTGAACTCACTGTTAAGTGGTTGATTACTTGGTTTTTTAATCTAGGAGCAGCAGAACTAGCAAGAAGCTTCCAGAAGTTACCTGTGTGTTCAGGGACTGAGATTTTCATCAGACTGTCAAAAACATAGCTTGTCTTTTCTGGCTCTTCAGTTTGGGTGATGCCATCAGTCTGCCTTAATCGAGGAGACTCTAGAAAATCAGCACAGTTGGGAGGGGGCACTCAGAGCTGACAGCAAAACCTATAGGCGCACACTGGTTGGTAATGCCCAGTGACCACACCCACAGAACAGAAGGTGCGGTGCATTATGGCCACCTAAGCTTTGGCTAAAGCTATTAAAAATACTAATACTGCCATTTCCACATTAGAGCCAAGATTAGCCTGGCCCTCTGACAGTAGGTCATAGGGTAGGAGGGAATTTAAAGGTGTAAGAAATACAATGATTTGCTCATGCTTCAATTAATTCTGATTTTATACTGTTTTATATTCAAGTGTATATCTGTTCTTCCATAGATTAATTCCATATGCTTTATTTTTCCATATTCTACTATGTCATATATTCAAGTCAAATAGATATACATAGTAATATTCATAACTATGGAATCTCTTGTCAAGAATGACTTCAAATATTGCCTGGGTCTTTAGGTTAGCTTTTTGTGGTACAGGATAGCACACTCACAGCATCACACATGCTAGGCAAGGGCTGGCTGTGCCACTGGGTTGCACCCCAATCGTTAATACTTCTTGCAAGTATGTTTGACCCAAATAGCAACAAACCCAGAAAGCATTGACGAATAAAAGAACCTAATACATTAAATCAAGATAGCCTGGATTAAAAAGACATTATAAATTCACCACTATCCATTTAGTTTGCAAGAGCTTTGTGAGCCACAAAAGATGTTGATTTTCCTTACGAGTGAAATAACTATCAAAATAATTCAACAGGTACAAAAAGAAAGTCTATGGGGCAGAAACTTGGGAAAGGTCATGTGGGTCTGAGGAGGATCTCTTTCATGCCTTTGATGATACTTTTTTTACCACTCTCAATTTATAGTTGTATTTGGATTAGGCCAAAGGGAGTTCTCAGGGATATATACAGGGAATTTCTTCTCTCATATAGGCCTTTCTACTTGCTGCTTCTGCCATTTTCCCTACTTGCTCCCAGAGGTGATCCAAAAGGTGGTGGTACTATTTGTCCACCATCCATTCAATATCTGTTGAGTGCTTAATGTGCAGCTCAGAGGGTAGACAGTGAGCCCGACAAAGGAGCTGACAAATACTTCCCTTAAAGAAAACATCATATACAACAGGTGTACAGGATGCTCTGGAGGCAAGGGAAGTGTAGAGATCTGAAGTGTCCAGCTGGCCAGTTGAAGGAGCAGGAAGGGGACAGAAAACAATCTCGAGGCCCCTGGGGCAGATCTTGAAGGGACCTTAGGCAGGAAGATATAGGAGGAAGAGCCCGAAAATGCCCCATTTTTCTATTGTGGTGTTCTCTATTCCATTTTCTAAGTGCTGTTTATTTCATGGCACACGGTGCATGAGAAATGCCACATTTTTCTATTCTTCCAAGTTCAACTCAATCCAGTTTCAGTGCTGTGTCATTATGGCCTGTGAGCTATCTAAAAGCATGCCTTTTGAAGTTCCTTTCTCTTCTCTTTGGGTGGCAAGAAAGCCCCAGAGTTTACCAGGGCTGCTTGGGAGACCTGGGCTCACACTGGGTTAGGCTATACCCAACCTTTAAGATTCTTTGTAAGTCTGCCTACCCCCTTAGCCACATTTCTGCAAAGTCCCAAGATGGTTTCCTGAGGGTGTCCAGAGTGCTTGTTGATGTAGCTGGGGCTGCCCCTGGACAGTCAGTGAATTCCTCTTTAAGTCTAGATCATTCGAGTCCATAGGCTGCTTCTCAGTAGCTCGAGCCTCCCGCCCTTTGTGGCTTGGAGGTATCAATGTCTTAGACCCAGAGCCCTGGGCAGCAGGATGGATGACAAAGAGTTCAGGTGTGGACATTTTGGACACAAAAGCTTTGAGTCACCCAGGTGGAAGCAGTCACCTGGAAACTGTTCTGGGATGAAGCCTGCAGACCAAGAGGCAGGCCTAGTGTCAAAGATAGAGATGGTCATCCACCCTGGAGAGTATGTGCAGGGTCCATATCTGGACAAACATTAGAGTCTCAGCTACTTCTCAAGTATTCCCAGGACTCCATGAATACTGTCATTGGGACTCTAGCCAACTCCTAACCTTTAGACGGATGGATGGCAAGAGTGTCGTGAGGGGACACCAAAGAAAAAGTAAAATGCCACAAATAGGTGATCAGGAGAGAGAGGTGATGGTGTTTTCTGCCCTTTCTGCCTTCCCCCTCACAATTAGTGTGTCCCCTCCCCGTAGCTGGCATTGCAGCCATATGCTACCACACAGGATATGATTTGAGTGTTTGAATGTGCATTATTCTTTTCTTCCCAGAATGCCCATATCACAAACCCCTGGGTTTTGAGTCAGGGAAGGTCACACCAGACCAGATTACCTGCTCCAACCCAGAGCAGTATGTGGGCTGGTATTCCTCATGGACAGCAAATAAGGCCCGGCTCAACAGTCAAGGATTTGGGTAAGTAGCGCAGGTAGTCTGTGTGGGATTTGTTTCTCTTATACAATAAATGGGCTTTGATGGGCTGGGAAGGTGGCTCAGTGGCAGAGTGCTTGCCTTGCATATATGAGGCCCTGGGTTCGATTCCTCAGCACCACATAAACAGAAAAAGCTGGAAGTGGTGCTGTGGCTCAAGTGATTGAGCGCTAGCCTTGAGCTGAAGAGCTGAGGGACAGCACCCAGGCCCAGAGTTCAAGCCCCACAACTGACAAAAAATAATAATAATGTGCTCTGAACAACTACATGCTCTAATACAGCATTTGAATAAACTTATTCAATAAATCCTGGCCAGGCAAAGTGACTTATGCCTGTAATTCTAGCTAATTGGGCTTGGGCACTGTCCCTCAGCTCTTCAGCTCAAGGCTAGTACTCTACCACTTGAGCCACAGAGCCACTTCCAGTTTTCTGGAGGTTTATTGGAGATAAGAGTCTCACAGACTTTCCTGCTAGGGTTGGCTTTGAACCATGATTCTCAGATCTCAGCTTCCTGAGTAGCTAGGATTACAGGTGTGAGCCACCGGCACCCTGCCAGAAAACAAATCTTGACTGACCAAATGTCTTGGTTGTACAAAGGACTGTGGTACAGCAGTGGAAAAAGATGGATGAGGTATTTGGCTTCAGGAAGTACTAAGTTCCAAGGGGGAAAGGGAGAGGATAAGCCGGTTGTTGCACAACTCAACATTCAGTGAGAGAGGGCCAGGGAAAACTTCCTGAAGAAAAGTCCTCACAAGTGGGAAACAGCTAGTGTCAAGGCCTCAAAGTGGGAACAAGACTGTTGGGGGTTGGTGGCCCCTCAAGGGCCATTCTTGGCTGGCTCTTTGCTGGGGCTCACAGGGAGGGGCTGCAAGTGAATCAGTGTGCTTGCTGCAGGTGCGCCTGGCTCTCCAAGTTCCAGGACAGTAATCAGTGGCTGCAGATAGATCTGAAGGAGATCAAGGTGATTTCGGGCATCCTCACCCAGGGCCGCTGTGACATTGATGAGTGGATGACCAAATATAGCGTGCAGTACCGGACCGATGAGCGCCTCAACTGGATTTACTATAAGGATCAGACTGGAAACAACAGGGTAAGTGGGGCTCAGCCCAACCCACGTTTGGCTCACGTCCCCTGGGACCCCTCTCTCTCATCCCTGGACCCCTACCCTCGCTGTCAGAGCACATGTTGCTCACCTGTGCTTCTTTATTTTCTGCTTGTAGCTTTGGTGCCCAGCTGTTTGGAAAGAAATGCTGTGTGTGTGTTTTGTGCCAGAGATGTTTGCCTGAGTTCTCAGATCATCATGTAGTTGCTTGAAGACTCAAGGCTTGATAGTTGGACTCTCAGTTTCACTGGATCATTGATTAGACTTGGTTCTATTCAGTATGTTCCTGATGAAGATAGCCAGTCCTCTATTGATACAGATAGGGCCTGTCCTTACTACTGACTGCTAGACACTGTTGGCAGGCTAGCTGGTTAACTAACCATTTAACTGCATAAATGTTTATTAAAAGGACACTACCAAGCTGGGCACTGGTAGCTTATGCCTGTAATTCTAGCTACACCAGACACTGAGATCTGAGGATTATGGTTGAAGTCAACTTGGGCAGGAAAGTCTATGAGACTCTTCTTTTTTTTGGGGGGGGGGGTCCAGTCGTGCGGCCTGAACTCTGGGCCTGGCGCTGTCCTTCAGCTTTTCAGCTCAAGGCTAGCGCTCTACCACTTGAGCTACAGCACCACTTCTGGCTTTTTGCTTATGTGGTGCTGAGGAATCGAACCCAGGGCCTCAGACATGCAAGGCAAGCACTCTACCACTGAGCCAACTTCCCAGCCCTCTATGAAACTCTTCATCTCCAATTAACTACCAAAAAAAGCTGAGCTACTAGTCTTGAGCAACAACAACAACAAAAAAAGCTCAGGGACAGCACTGAGGCCCTGAGTACAAACCTAAGGACCAGTATACACACACACACACACACACACACACACACACACACACACACACACTTAAAAGGATACCACCAGTTTGCAAAGATACTTAGGCCTTTTGGAACTCTATATTCTATACACTTTTTGAGAACTGTGACCAAAGTCACCTTCATCGTAGTCTAAACACAGTAGATGCCTGATTTTAATACATGTACATTTATCTACACACACACACACACACACACACACACACACACACACACACACACACACACATATATACATATGCAATGTTTAGAAATGAAAATGGCTAGCAGTTTGGAAATGGATGCCAAAGAATAATAAATTCCTCAGGTTATTTTTTGACATTAATCAGGTTCAGAAGATGTAGATGTGTGTGCTGAGAATCAGAAGATTTTCTAGTCCCTGATGACAATTTGCACTGTAAGATATCATAGCTTGACGTTTCAAGGAGTATAGACAGAATAGGAAACCTCATGGTTGGATACTTGGACTCTTAATTTCATTTTTGGTCTTATTAGTTGGCTTCTCCAAAAGAAAGTGTTTCTTCAAGCCCCATGCTCCTGAAAATCTTGATGGTGCTCTCAAAGTGGCAGTCCATACAATCTGGCAGATCCTGTCCACAGACTCCTCATCTACCACCTCATTTGCACAGACTCATGGCTTAGACAGGGCAATATGGGGCCTTGCGACTGGGAAGAAAGGGAGGCACCCAAGACATCCTGCTTTGTGCATGGAAACGGCCAAGTGTCACAGGCAGATGTTTTCAGGAGAAAATGAATGGCAGGAAAAAAAGTATTTCTGTGTGATGGGACAAAACAATCTCAAAACTACTCTCAATTCTGGAAAGAGTGCCAAGAAGATTTCTCTGGAAGTACTGTACTGTCCAACATCCACAGTAGCTTAATTCCTAAAAATCACCAAGTAAAACCATTTTCTCTCTGTCACCACTTTTCCCTTTCCAGATTTTTCCCTTAAGGTGTGTGTGTGTGTGTGTGTGTGTGTGTGTGTGTGTGTGTGTGTGTACTTACTTGAACTCAGGGTCTGGGCACTTTTGTGCTATTTTAGGAGATAGTTTACTGGACATGAGTCTCACAGACTTTCCTGCATTGGCTGGCTTTGAATCACGAGCTCAGAGCAGCTAGAATTACAGGCTTTTGAGCCACCAGCACCTGGTTTCTCTCTAGTTGTTTTTTTTAATGTTTGTAAAAACGTGTTTCCAAGTCTAAAAGGTATTTGTGACTTGTATCAAAGTAGAGATATATATTTAAATTTTGCCTTAGAAGTTTACAGTCAGGAAAATATAGTTTGGATACCTTTAGAACATAGGAATATTCATTCCTCTTGTGTGATGTGACACCTTTTATACCTTCTTGTCAAAATGCAAAGGACAAAACCAGAAAACTGTGATAAGGATCAAGGGTTTTCTATCTGCATCATCTAATAGGACTTCCTGTGATGATGGACACATTCCTATTCACACTGCCCAATATGGTAGCCTCTGGCCACATGTAGCTATGGAGCATTTAAAATGTGGGCAGTGTTGGCTGAGATACATGTATTTCGTATACACAATGCCCTAGGTTCTGTCCTAGCACTGAAGAAGAAAAAAGTGAGAAACTGAATTTTTCTGTTTTTAGTTCATGTACATTGAAATGTATGTGGCTAGTGGCTATCATATTGGATAGTCCCCAAAGGTGCAATGAACAGGATCTGGTGATGTGGCTCAGGTGGCAGAGTGCCAGCCTTGAGAAAAAAGCTGAGAGCATGAAGACTAGAGTTTAAGCCCCAGCATTGGTGCCCCCCTCCCCGACCCCCTATACTAGCTACATTCATGGTTAGAATTTAAAGCGTACTTGGAACTTCTCTGTATTTTAACCATTTTCTAAGATTTTCCGTAGTTGTACAATGGGGCTAGCTCCACACAGGAGTCATTCTTTTCTTCTTGTGTGTTGGTGACTGGATCTCCTCCCTCTCTTTAGGTTTTCTATGGAAACTCAGACCGGAGTTCCACAGTCCAGAACCTGCTGCGGCCCCCCATCATTTCCCGCTTTATCCGACTGATCCCACTGGGCTGGCATGTCCGCATTGCCATCCGGATGGAGCTGCTGGAGTGTGTCAGCAAGTGTGCCTGACTCCCACCCTAGCACAGGCCTGCCAGCGAGGGGAGGACCCGCCGGTGCAGGGCCCCACAAGGCCCCGCTGATGGATAAGGTTCTATCTTTAAGGCACTTTTAAAGGCAGAGATATAGAAGATCTCATCCACACACAGACCAAATAAAAGAGTCTCCAATTTTAATGAAAGAAAAAGAAACAAAATATGGTCACCCTCCTCTCCTTGCTAGGGCCAAGAATAATAAGAACAAAGAAAACATCACCCAAACTAATTTTCATACAAAAGCCTAAGTAATTTGCTGGAGCAATTTCCTGCTTTCTCTCCTCTCCTCTTTTCATTTTTTTGGGTAGTTTTTTTTTTTTTTTAAATCTCAGTAACACTGAAAGCTGCAGTCCCAGGGGAACAAACACAAAGGAGCTCTGATAATTTGAAAAATTCTATTTTGCTTTGCCACTTTCAAAACAGAGACATATGGTTTCAGAAAATCTTGCTTGAATGCTGAAAAGGACTAGGCCTACATTTAGGTTTCCATTAAATCTGGAGCAAAAAAGAACACAGCGAGAAGTCAGGTAGACAGTTGAAGGTTTTGAGGGTGAGTAGGTAGCAGACATGACTGCGGTACATAGGAGCCTGTTGCACGTCCCACAATTGTCCTGCTATCCTGATGGCTTGTGTACAACAAAGAGCAAATGTCTAAGGTCAGGGAGCCTTGCTGGTAATAGTTTTTGCATTGAATGGGCACTTGCAATGAACGAATCCCACATGAATACAGGGATTAGAGACAGTCCGAAGCTTTCATTACACAGCTCATAAAGGCAAACTGTCCAAATCTGTGGTTACCATAATGTACAGGACAATCTGTATGTGGCAAGTCACAAGGTCGTTCTACATTCAGGAAGGCCAAGTGACCAGAGCACCTCAAAATCTCCTTATCTAGGGCTACTATTTTTCAAGAAACTGAACATATCTCGGAAAAAAAAAACCCACCCAAACAAAAAAAACTTGACTCAGGAGCTAGCCACTTGGAGGAGGTACATTAGCTAAGTGGTCAGAATAAGGTCATACAAAGAACCTGCAGCTTCTCCTCTGGAGATGTCTGCCTTGTCCACACAATCACACCTGCTCCAGACACTTGTAATCTCTTTGGGAAGCAGTGGCGCTCATTTGGCAGACATGAACTACAACCAGTCTCTTCTGCAGTGCGGAAAGACCTGACTTCCAAGTCTCTCCCTGGGCAGAGACTGTTAACATAGGGAAAAGAGAACAGGGAAAGTAGGAGCTGAGAGGGATGGAATCAAGCTTAAAGGTCTCCAGAAACTGGGCATTTCACAGACTGTCCTGGTACCACACATAGTTATAAGCCTTTGCTAGCAGATCTTTCCTGGTATCACTGTACATTTTCAAATGCCAAGGCCAGTGGATGGACTCACAGTAATGTCGCCTTAGACATTGCATTCATCTACTTTGTGAATAGGTAACCTCCTACAAGCCCCACATCTCCCCCAGGGTTTAAGGGCTCAGCAGACGTGTCTAGAATATGGCACTCCTGGCTTTAGGACACATGCAGAAATGTATTCTGGACAGAATTCCTAAACATACTGTGATTTACAAGAATGAATTTACTTATCTCACAATATAGACTGTCAGAGAAAATGGTAATAGACTAAGTGTATAGATTGGGGTGGGGGGAATGAACAAATATATATCCATAAAGATATATGGATAAAGGTTCTTTAAACAATTGTTAACATTGGGCCTCTATATCTTGTTATGTCTTTATTGAGATGAAGTTCATATATCATAGAATCCTCACCTATGTGATGTATACAGCTCAATGACTTGGTATATTAGGAGCTGTGAAATCTTTATCATAAGTAACTTTAGTTTTCACTACCTTAAGCAGGGGTGGGGAATATCTGGTTGGTGGGCTGTATGAGGCTGCCAAAGTCATTGATATAGGATAGGACAGACATGTACGCTTCTTTTTTTGTCTGTCATGGGGCTTGAACTCAGGGCCTGGGCACTGTCTCTGAGCAACTTTGGCTCAAGGTTAGTGCTCTACCACTTGAGCCACAGTGCTACTTCAGGCTTTTTTCTGTTTATTTGGTACTGAGGAATCAAACCCAGCATTTCATGCATGCTAGGCAAGCACTCTACCACTGAGCCACATTCCCAGCCCATGTGTACACTTCTTGAATGCTTCTTATCTGCTGCCTGAGGCTATCTGTCCATACTGATAATTTTGAATGGTCTGCAGATGACATTATTAATATCCAAAAGGCCCTTAGCAGAAAAAAGTTCCCCATCCCTGCTGACATAAAGAGAATTAGCCATCATCCATCTTGGCTCTGGGCAACTATTAACCCACTTTTTGTTTCTATGTAAATTTCCTTATTTGTAGACATTTTTCATATTATATATATATCCAATATGTAGTAGCTTGTGACTGATTTCATTCACTTTTTTTCATTCACTTTTTGTTTTTAAAGCTCTTCTATATTGTTCATTCCTTTTCTGAGTATAATTCCATTGTATGGATATTGTTACTTAGCATCCCTTGATGGGCATTTAGGTTGAATAGTGCTATGAAAATGTGTTAGCAAATACATTTTATGTGAACATATTTTCATTTACTTGGTTACATATCTGGGAGTGGGACTGCTGGGTCGTATGGTGACTAAGTTTAACAAATGGCTCACCATTTTCCACTCCTATGGCATAGCAATGCATGAAGGTTCCCATTTCTCTATAACCTCAATAACACTTAGAGTCTTTCACTATAGCCATCTTAGTATGTGTAAGTAGTATTCCTTTGTAATTTTGATTTGCATTTCTCTAATGACATTGAACATCGTTTCATGTATTTCCATATGGTCATTTCTTTGCCCATTGAAAAATCATTTTACAATTTATTGAGTTGTAAGAGTTCTTTGTATATACTAGATATAATTTCTTTTTCTTTTTTTGGTCAGTTGTGGGGCTTGAACTCTGGGCCTGGACACTGTCCCTCAGCTCTTCAGCTAGCTCAAGGCAACCGCTCTACCACTTGAGCCACAGCACCACTTCTAGTTTTCTGGTGGTTAATTGGAAATAAGAGTCTCAAAGAAGCAGGGTGCTGGTGGCTCACGCCTGTAATCCTAGCTACTCAGGAAGCTGAGATTTGAGGATCTAGGTTCAAAGCCAGCCCAGGCAGGAAAGTCCAGGAAACTCTTATCGTCAATAAACCACCAGAAAACCAGAAGTGGTGCTGTAGCTCAAGTGGTAGAGTGCTTGCCTTGAGCTGAAGAGCTGAGGGACAGCACCCAGGCCGAGTTCAAGCCCCACAACTGACAAAAAAAAAAGTCTCACAGACTTTCCTGTCTGGGCTGGCTTTGAACCGTGATCCTCAGATCTCAGCCTCCTGAGTAGCTAGGATTATAGGCATCAGCCACCAATGCCTGGCTAGATATAATTTCTTTTAATCAGATATATGACTTGAAAATATTTCTTTCATCATTGTTTTTTAAACTCTTGGTTATTTCGAAGCACAATTTTTTAACTTTTAGTGAAGTCTAAATTTATTCCTACTTTTTTTTCCAATCCAATTTCATGAAGATTTACTACTATTTTTCTAAGTTTTATAGTTCTACCTTTTACATTTAGCTCTTTGACCAACTTTGAAACCATTTTCATGTCTATGAAGAGTCCAACCTCATTCTTTGTATATAGTTAGCTAGTTTTCCAACAACCACTTGTTAAAAAGATAATTGTGGGGCTGGAGGGGCGGCTCAAGTGACTTTGCAGACTCAGGATGTAACTCAGTGGTAGAATATTGGGTGTGGGTGGTGACTTGGACAAAGAAAGGTATTTCAAATCAGAAATATGCTAGCAATATATTCTCAGAACTAAGTAGTTTGTCATTCTAAAATGAGCCTTTGAAGGATACTGAGAGAAGGCCACTTGAGACATAGTTGAGGCATAGTCGCTGAGGCCTACTGACAAAACAGCTTTCAATGGTGCTACTTCCTTTGTGTTCTCTAGTACAGCCTCACTCTAGACTTTTCTGATCACAAACTACCTTATGAACTGGTAGGAAGTTCAGATAGGATCAAGTGCTTAGCATATAACCATTGACTTCTCCATAACTAGCATTTAATCCAATGAAACTTTTCCTAGTTCATAGAAATGCCAACTGTGACACAATTAATAACTATAATAATGTTATAATAGCTAATACTCATGGAGATTCTATCAAATGCTATATAGCACCTCATTACATCTTCATGACAACCCTACAGGGAAGGTACTACAATAGTTTTTGTTTATAGGCAAGGAAACAGAGGCACATGGAAGCTAAGTATCATGCATCAAGACATACGAGATTTACGTGACAGCCAGGGTTCCTGTCAGGCCATTATGACTCCAGATCCTAGGCATTTAACTGTATCACCAGCATCTGCATCCCTGATCTCCAGTGATTTGCTTCAATGAAACAGTCCATTCTCAATCAAATCAGTTATCACCTGCTAGGAGAGGAGATAAAAGATGCATGTGAATTGTTGTGAATTTTAAGGATGTTACACATTGTAAGGGCTCATTACTACCTGCTCCAATCAGTACATTTACCCATCAGTACACATAGCCTTCTTGAAATGGGTGTATCCTATTTTTCACTTGACTAAATTGTCTTTGTTTGTAAACCTAGAGTATATTCCGGCAAACATTTTCATATATTCTAGGTTGAACATTGTTTTTGGAGTTAATTGAATAAACCTGAATTACTAAAGGGAAAACAATGTCATTAGACTCCATGTCACTCTTGACACGTGGAGATGAAGTGGCTGCATTGTTTAGTGGTCTTGAAGTGTATGGGTTTTGCAGTGAACAAGTTTAGCTTCAAATCCTATCCATTCCACTTCTAGGCTGGGTGACTCCAATCAAGTTAATATAAGGTATGTAAACCTGTTCATCTACAAAATAGGGAAAATAATAGTACTTACTTCAATGAGTCATTTTTTAAACATAACAAGAGAACACTTGGCATTATTGTATCAGTTGTAGTATGTTCTATG